CTGAGTTGGAACTTAACTGATATAAAGATCATTGTGATCTGAAATGGAGGGATATCGGATGCATCTTTCTTTAATGGATCTGCAGAAATATGTAAATTCCCTTTTCCTCCTTTTTGATCTCAACATGACCCAAATTATCTACACACCCTTTCCCAGACTCATCATCCACCAAGTCCTTCCCTATGGTGAATACTGATGCAAAGTACTCATTTAATACCTCACCCATTTCCTCTGGCTCCACATATAAATTCCCTTCCCTGTCCTTGAGTGAGCCAACCCTCTGCCTGGCTACCCTCTTACTCTTTATATATGTATAAAAAGCCTCGGGATTTTCCTTAATCCTGTTGACTAATGACTTTTCATGACCTCTTTTAGCCCTCCTGACTCCTTGCTTAAGTTTCTTTTGACTTTCTTTGTATTCCACCCTTGCTTCGTGTGTTCCGAGCCTCCTAGCCTTGATAAATGCTTCCTTTTTCTTCTTAATTAGGCTCACAATATCTCTCATTATCCAGGGTTCCCTAAACTTACCATACTTATCCTTCATCCTTACAGGAACATGAGTTACCAGCAACTTTTACACTTGAAAGTCTCCCACATACCATATGTTGATTTGCCCTCCAACATCTGCCTCCAAGTTACATCTCTCTACTATTTTATTCAAATGGTGAGGTGAAATTAGACAAAACTTCTTATTGTACAGCAAGGAATGGATGTGCAGGCTTGCCACGTGATTACAGAAATTTTGTATTAAAATGCACAATGTAATAAAAAGGCAGCAAAACATCCTGCAGCATGTTCTGACTATAGCAAATAGGGACTAAAACCCTGAATGGCTATGAAAGAAATGAGCTTCAAAGGACAAATTGGGTATCAAATCAGGATACAAATGCCCTCTCCATATCTGTCAATGCTTTGTTTTCCTTCAAAAATCTATTAGCAGCTTATGCTTTCTGAGACACATTCTAAGTGGTTTTCCAATAAATTCCAGCATACACGATTGCTGGGAGATTACACAGAATAAAATTTCTTCAGCCCTAGAATTATTATCAGACAGCAATGTCAGATCACATTGTTGACTATGTGTGAGCTGGACGAAAATCCTGATGAAGAACATTGTGTCATGGAACTTGAAGATAGTAAATAGTCCTTGTGTTTTAGTGAACATTACTGACTTCAAACCTCTGCCAAATGTGTGAGGCATCATCAAGTCTGACAGCAGTTTGAGGGATGGTAAGAGTCAAACACCCAGGTACCCCTCAAGTACAATGATTGGCTCATGCTAAGTTATCTGGTCTCAGGAACAAAGACAAAGTTGCTGGAAAAGCTCAGCAGGTCTGGCAGCATCTGTGAAGGAAAATACAGAGTTAACCTTTCGGATTCAGTAACCCTTCCTCAGAAGGGTCCTACTCAGAACTGGTTCCTCCAGTTCTGAGGAAAAGTCACCAGACCTGAAACGTTAACTCTGTTTTTACCTTCATAGATGCTGCCAGACCTGCTGAGCTTTTCCAGCAACTTTGTTTTTGTTCCTGATTCACAGCATCTGCAGCTCTTTTGGTTTTTATCTGAACTCAACCTGGATTGAATCAGGGGTTAAAAACTGCCTGCCTCTTTGCAACAAGCATTTCATGCATGTTGCAAGCAGCAGAGCCTAAACTTTACAGAAGGTGAAAGACCAGCCAGCAGAGCATGGCAATAGTTAAGTCTAGAGGTAACCAAAGTTCAGATTAGGATTTCTGTAGCAAATGGGCTCAAAGCTATTACTTTGTGCAAAGAACAGCAATCACTACACTCATCTCTCATTGTTTGTGTGGTGAAGCTCTTCAGATGTCTTGAGGTTATTTCAGTATAAGTACAATTAATTTATTGCTGACTTTTATTAATATTTTTATATGAAAACAAAACCCTGCCAGATCATTGTGACATTTTACATTTATTTGAGGAGCTGAATTATTTTTGTGTTATGAATTTATTAAAAAATCTAGAAATGATAAATGTCAAATTGAGTGATATTTGCAATATTATTTAAGATCATTTTTAAGGAATCTGTAGAATTTTTTTCTGCTTATTACAAAAACGCGCTAGTTCTCTAGAATTGAATACATTTCAATTTAGGTATTAGCTCAAGATGCATCAAGCACTCCCAGATCAGATAATGTGATACCCTCTTTATCCTTCTTCAGGTATATACTTGAAACTGAAAAGTGCATTGTGAATCCCAATGGTCTGAAGTGTTTTTCCCATACTTACCATACCAGATGTCTATGGACTGCCTGTAGATTATGTTGTCAATTTCTGCCATACTGGGAAATATTGTATTGTGGTACTATTCTTGAAGGAAACTGTTGAAACAGCTAAAATTAGTTTTTTGATGATTTCTTGTGAGCTGTTAACTTATTTCAAACTCTGATGAAGAATAAAGTTCATAGTAGGGTTATCCTCTTTGGCAAAGAATAAACCAAAAAGACAGAATATTTCTTAAAGTGTAGGAGATTGAAAAATGTTGGAGTCCAAATGTTGGGTATCTTTGTTCGTGAATCACCGATACCTGGCATTCAGATGCAACAAGCAATAATGAATGGCATGTTTGCTTTCATTGCAAGGGGATTTGAGTATGGATGTCTCGCTGCAATTGTGTAGTGCCTTAATGAGGCCATACTTGGAACATTGTGTACAGTTTTAGTCTCCTTATCTAAGGAAGGCTTTACTTGCCAGAGAGGGAGTTCTACAAAAGTTCACCAGACTAATTGCTGAGATGACAGGATTATCTCATGAGGAGAGAGTGAGAAAACTGGGCCTATATTGAAGAATATAGTTTTGAAGAATGAAAGGTAATCACATTGAAACATAGAAAGTTCTGAGGAAGGGTCACTGGAACCGAAACATTAACTCTGATTTCTCTTCACACATGCTACCAGACCTGCTGAGCTTTTGCAGCAATTTCTGTTTTTGTTTCTGATTTACAGCATCTGCAGTTCCTTTGGTTTTTATACAGAAAATTCTTACAAGGCTGGGTTGGCTGTTTTCCCTGGTAAGTTTATGCCAAGGTAACATTATTTCACAATAAGTAGTAGCCATTTCAAAATATGATGAAGAGGAATCTCTTCACTCAGAGAGTGGTGAATCTTTGGAATTCTCTACCCCAGACGGCTGTGGAAGCTCAATCATTGATCATGTTCAAGAAATAAATCGATAGATTTTTGGAAACTAATATTATTAAGGATATGGAGATAGTGAGGCAGAGTCATGATCTAACTGAAGAAGAGATGCAAAAGGGAAAGATATTCAGCACTTTGGAAGAAAGCTCAGGGAAGCAATGATGTGACAATAATATTGAATAAGACTGAGACCGTAGGACTGAGACAAATACATATTCTTTCACACTTTATAACCTGTTTCAACATGACGGATTCTTAGGTCATGTATATTATGTAGGTGACTTGATCTTTTTACGTTACTTCATTGGGCATTCTCTGTCAAATGGTTATGATACAAATTAGAAGGCAGACTCATCAGCAATGTCAGACATAGGTTTCAGGGAGTGAATTCAAGGGGAAGTGATTGCCTAGTGGTATTATCACTGGATGATTAATCCAGAAACTCAGGTAATGCTCTGAGGACCCAGATTCAAGTCCTGTCATGGCAGATGGCAGAATTTGGATTCAATAAAAATCTGAAATTAAGAGTCTAATCATGACTATAAATTGGTTGATGGGGGAAAATCTGGTTTGCTACTGTACTTTTATTTCTTTATTCATTCACAAGATGAGGGTGTCACTGGCTAGGCAGCATTTATTGCCCATCCTTAATTGCCCAGAGGGCAGTTAAGACTCAACCACATTGCTGTGGGTCTGGATCCACATGTAGGCCAGATCAGGTAAAGGTGGCAGTTTCCTTCCCAAGAGAACATTAGTGAGCCAGATGGGTTTTTGCAACAATTGACAATGGATTCATGGTCATCATTAGATTCTTAATTCTGGATATTTTATTGAATTCAAATTCCACCATCTGCCATGGTGCGATTTGAACTGGAGTCTCTGGAACATTATCTGGGTCATCATTCCAGCAATAATACCACTAGGCCATTGCCTCCCCTTTAAGGAAGGAAACTGCCATCCTTGCTTGGTCTGGCCTACATGTGACCCCAGACCCACAGCAATATGGTTGACTCTTTAACTGCCCTCTGGGAAATTTTAGATGGGCAATAAATGCTGGCCTGGCCAGTGACACCCACATCCTATAAATGAATTTGAAAAATTAGGTAATCTGATTCTTGCACGAAGACCAATTATCTGGGTGTTACTCAGAAACCTGTCAGTGAAATGTTATAACTCTCTAATGGATTTTAAAAAAACACATTCATGTAATGAATGCTTCACTGGCCACACCAGTGGTCTTGTGGTCCATTCCTAGTTGACAGCAGAAGCCAGAGCTTCTTTCTTGAACTGCTGCAGTTCTTTGGTGCAGGCAGACCCATAATGCTGTTCAGGACAGAATTCCAGGATTTTGACCCAGTGACACTGAACGAAAAGTGACATATTTCCATGTCAGGATGGTGAATGGCTTGGAGGGCAACTTGGCAGGGTGGCTGTTGCGATGCATCTGCTGCCCTTCTATTTTCATTATCCATTCATGTGATGTGGGTGTCACTGGCTGGGCCAGCAATTTTTGCCCACCCTTTCGCCTTCTAGATGGTAGTGGTCATGAGTTAAATATTGTAAAAGGGAAAAAAAATGATTCAGCAAGAGAAAATGCTGATTGATTAGGCCAATCATGACGTTGTGCCTTTTTTCAAGTCTGTTCTTGAGTCCTTTTTCTGTTAAGTGCAAGATGAAAACCTTCACCCTTTTTGCCTCCTTTAGCAATGTTTACATTTTGTGTTCTTTTATTGCCCGTGATCCTTCTTTCTGTTTTGCGAGAAACCATGACTGAAGGAGAGAAAGAATGACTCCAGACCAGCGAGCACTTCCATTCAGCCACACAATCGATAGGACGAAGTCTTGAGGGCTATCTGCGATCCCACAATGCATCGGGTTTCCAACATGGCAGCAGGTGAATAGGCTCTATCTCCAGAGTGGGGTGGGGAGGTCGTTTTTTGTTCCTTCCTTTGAATCAAGAGTGAACCAAGATGCCGAAAGTGGTGTCTCGCAGTGTGGTGTGTTCCGACACTCGGGACCGCGAGGAATATGACGATGGCGAGAAACCTCTGCATGTTTATTACTGTCTGTGCGGACAGATGGTGCTGGTCCTCGGTAAGCAAACTCGACAGGCCCTGAAGCCTCGGGCTTGAGTACTGAGTTCTTCAGGGTGAGGATGTCCCCTGGCAGGACTTGTGAGGCAGGGGATTTTATTGAAACAGTTAGTGCGAGTGTAACGTTCTTTTTTCTCTTCTTAGTTTTTTAAAAATAATACTACGGATGAAATTTACAAAATGTTATGTTTGAGTTTTCATTATAATTCTTGTTATAAGTGAACCAAAATTATTATTATTATTGAAGTGAGAAACTGAAAGCAGAGCCCTGAAGTATAATGGGATGATATTTATAAATTGAAGATGAGATACAACAAACTTGGTGTGAGTGACAGTGGCAGGTCTGACATAATGTCAGCGCTGTGAGAGGAAAGCTGGCTGCAGGGAGTCTGAAATTAATATAGCATAAATTTGGAAACACAATAGGCCTATCAGGACCTGAGGGTGGAAATCAAGCTAACATTTTAGAGAGAAGACTTGTATCCAAACCAACACAAGAAAATGAGGAGACTTCTTTAGGTGTGTCAATCTTTCAGGTTTAGTGGCAGAACATATCTCTTTAGGTGGAAGGTTGGGACTGGAAGATAGAATGTACTCTGGACTATTTTTCTAATCAATCGGAGATGTTCTTTCACACCTCTGGAGTGGGTGGACCTTAAACCCAGGCTTCCTTCATTCAGGGCAGGGCCGCTACCTCTGTGCCATAAGAGGGCCCAGGATCTTCTGACCTGTTTTTCCTAATCAGCCTGCTCAGAGATGTTATTGCACACCTCTGAAGCAGGTGGGACTTGAACCCAGAGCTCCTGGTCCAGGGGTAGTGACAATCTGTCTGTGCCACAGGAGGGTTCATCAGAACCTAGTCTGATACTTCAATGAGATACAAGATGCACCTGTATGCTGCAAGTAGTTTATTCAGCTCTTGGCAGTTGTTTAAAGGAATTGGAAAAAAGCAGTCATAAAAAAGGTAACCTTGATTTTACTTTCTCCAATGTGTTAAAAAGTCGATTTCACTAAGTGTTCCACATTAAATCCACAGCCATTGCTAACCCCACTCATGTCTGTTTCAATTTACAATCCAGTTTAATAAGAATAAATAAGGGGATAATCTTTCCATGGTAGAAAAGTTAGTAACCAGAGAAAACAGGTTTAGCATCATTGGAGAAGAACCAGAGTGGAGGAGAGGTGTTTAATGCAGTGAGTTATTATGATCTGCATTGCACTGCCTGAGAGGATGGTAGAAGCAGATTTGATGGCCAGTTTCAAAAATAAATCAATAAAAGGAAAAGGTACAGTGTTGTGGGGAGACAGAGAGTGAGTGAGAGGGACTAATTGGTAGAAAGAATGGAATTTTATACTGACTGCGACATCCTGTTAGTGAAAAAAGCAGTCTTGTCCTGATTACATAGTAGAATGAAACAACTTGCTTAATCTAGACTTTGAGATGTTTGCAGCAAAGAAGGAGGCCATTCACTCCACTGTGTTCATGCTGATCAACAAAGATCTGACTACACCAATCCTATTTTCTAGCCCTTGGTCAATTGCCTCGCTGTCTATGGCAATTCAAGTGAATATCTAAATACTGCTTAAATGTTAGATGTTTCTGACTCGCTCACCTTTCCAGACAGTGAATTTCAGACTCCTGTCGTCCACAGTAGGAAAAAGATTCTCTTTGACTCCCCTCTTAGTCTTCTAGCTCTTACTTTAAATCTATGCCCCAGCCATTTAAAGTGGGGAAAAAAAATGCCTTCCTATCTATCCTACCTATGTCCTACGTAATCTTTACATCTCTATCAGGTCCTCTCTCAAAGTCTGCTGCTACAAGAGAAACAACCCCAGCTTATCCAATCTTTTTTCATAGCTCAGACCATCCAATCCAGGCAGCATACTTTGCAATCTCCTTTTCACCTCTTCTTATAATGCTCTGACCTTGCTTTTATTTAATGAAAACCAAAAGAACTGCGGATGGTGTAAATCAGGAACAAAAACAAAGTTGCTGGAAAACCTCAGCAGATCTGGTGGCATTTGTGAAGGAAAAAACAGAGTTAACGTTTCAGGTCCGTTGAGGAAGGGTCACCAGACCTGAAACGTTAACTCTGTTTTTACCTTCACGGATGCTGACAGACCTGCTGAGCTTTTCCAGCAACTTTATTTTTGTTGCTTTTATTTAACACTTACTCTTACTTAATAAACTGGAAAAATAAGGCAAACAACCAGAACTCCTTAACTCTACCAAGCAGATAATTTAGTTTCAGAGTTCTAAAATATTAGTTATCTATGTTTTTTAAGGTGTACTTAGCATTTTGGATAAATATCCAATCAAAGAAACAAGCAAGAAATACCAATGAATTACCTACTTGCTGTCCTGTAACACCATCATTTGATTTTGTTGAAGAAGTTGCACCATCATTCTCTCCATCACCAGAGTCTCTCCCAGTCCCACAGACCCCTTCACCCAGCTGCAATACTCTCCCTCCACCTGGACCCCTTCCTCTAGCCTTTTACATGCGGTCGATCTGTTTTTTGAGAATTGTCAACGTGACATTGACTGCCTCAATTTTTCTGCCTCCAAACTGACTGCACTCCGTGCACTTAGTTCCAACCCTAACTTTCTTATTAAACCTGCTGATAAGAGTGGTGCTGTTGTAGCCTGGCCTAATGACCTCTACATTGCAGAGGCTGAGCACCATCTTTCCTATCTCTCCCAGACCATAACCCCACGATAGAACATCAGGCCATTATATCAACTATGGTTACTGACCTCATTTCATCTGGTGATCTCCCCCCTACTGCCTCCAAGGGGATAGTCCCCCAGTCCCACACAGCTCGCTTCTACCTCCTTCTGAAAATCCACAAACAGAACTGCCTGTGCAGCCCATTGTTTCAGCCTGCTTCTGCCCCACAGAATTCATATCTTCCTACCTTGACTTGGTCTTTTGTCCCTTGGTTCAGTTTCTGCCCAGTTATTATCCACAATTCCTCTGATGCTTTATGCCAGTTTTGGAATTTCCAGTTCGCAGGCTCCAGCTGCTGTCTCTTTACCATGGATGTGCAAACCCTTTACATGTCCATCCCCCACCTGGAGGGTCTCGGGGCTCTCCGCTTCTTCCTGGAGCAAAGGCCTGAACCATCCCCACCCACCACCACCCTCCTCCGCTTGGCTGAGCTCATCTTCATCCTGAACAACTTCTCTTTTAACTCCTCTCACTTTCTTCAGGTCAGAGGGGTGGCCATGGGTATGCACGTGGGCCCTAGTTGTGCCTGTCTCTTCGTGGGGTGCACGGAACATTCCTTGTTCCTATTCTGGCCCCCCACCCACAACTCTTTCTCCGATATATCAGTGATATCATGGGCGCTGCTTCCCTCTCATGTTTGAAATCGGAAAAGTTTATCAATTTTGCTTCCAATTTCCACTACGCCCTCATTTTCACCTGGTCCGTCTCTGACTCTTTCCTTCCCTTCCTCGATATCTGTGTTTCCATTTCTGGGGATAAATTGGCCACTAATATTTGCTATAAAGCCACTGACACCCACAGCTACCTGGACTATACATCCTCTCACCCTGCTTCCTGTAAAGACTCCATTCCATTCTCCCGGTTCCTTCATTTCTGTCACGTATGTTCCAATGAGGCCAACTTCGACAAGGGAGCCTCTGAGATGTCCACCTTCTTACTCACCCGAGGATTCCCTAGCAACGTTGTTGACAGGGCTCTCAACTGGATCCGACCCATCTCCTGCACTTCCGCCCTCACCCCGTCCCTTCCCTCCCGCAACAGCGATAGGGTTCCTCTTTTCCTTACCTACCATCCCACCAGCATTCACATCCAAAAGATCATCAGCTGCCATTTCCACCACCTCCAGTGAGATGCCACCACCAGATGCATATTCCCCACTCCTCCCTTTTCCACCTTCTGCAGGGACTGTTCCCTCTGGGACACCCTGGTCCACTCTTCCTTCACTCCCAACACCCCCGCTCCCACGGCAACTTGCCCTGCAACTGCCACAGGTGTAACACCTGCCCAATTACCTCCTCCCCCCTTAGTATCTAAGGGCCCAAACATACCTTCCAGGTGAAGCAACACTTTACTTGCATTTCTTACAATCTAGTCTACTGCATTCGCTGCTCACAATACGGTCTCTTCTACACTGGGGAGACAAAATGTAGACTAGGTGCTGCTTCACAGGATAGCTATGCTCTGTCTGCAAAAATGACCCTGAGGTTCCAGTTGCCTGCTATTCTAACACACCACCCTGTTCCCTGGACAATATCTCTGTCTCAGGCTTGCTGCAATGCTCCAGTAAAACTCAGTGCAAGCTGGAAGAACGACACTTCATTTCTTGCTTGGGGACTCTGCAGCCCTCTGGACTCAATATCGAGCTCAATAAGTTTAGAGTCTGAACTCTCCCATATCCTAGCCCCCAAACCCACACACCAGCCTTGCTATCACATTGTCTGCCATTACACACTACCTATTGTTAGTCACTAACACTCCCCAGTAACAGCTATTCACCCTCCTATTGAGATTGTTATCAACTCCTCTGTCTATCCAACTGCTCTTCTCTTTCTTTGGGCTCTACCCCAACTATCATTTACTGCTGACCCCCTCTCCCTAACCTATCTTCTGCACATAAACCAACATTTTCCTTAAAACCATCAGTCCTGAGGAAGGGTCACTGGACCCCAAACATTAACTCTGATTTCTCTTCACAGATGCTGCCAGACCTGCTGAGCTTTTTCAGCAATTTCTGATTTATAGCATCTACAGTTCTTTTGATTTTTAAACAAACATTGGAGTTTGACTATCCAGCAAACAAACCAAAGGCTTTTCTTACGTGCGCAAGACTGTGTATTTACATATATTCGAGGCATTGGAAGGTCCAAGAACTGAACTGATCCCCATTTAACTTCAGCAGAAAAACCTCAGACGGTGGTCTTTCCCCACTGCACCTTGGAATGTGCCAGTCTGCAACACTCGGTCAAGGTAAACTCCTTGTTCTGTAAGA